TGACTTAAAATGTAACATGACACTACATTTGTTTATCCTAAAGAGCTTTAAATTTGTAACAATATACATCTATTTATAATTAAATTTGATTGTTTTATTGCCCTTTGACACATGTCTAAATACTGTTTGCACCAATATAAGTTGTAAATAACTATTGAATTACCTTACCTAAGAGGTACTCTGAGCTGCTTGTATGTGTGCTTCATTAAGTATTTTTAATATTATTATTTATTTTATTTAATCTAACTTTAACAAACCTAAAGAAATCCCTATTTTTACATTTTAGTTACTTTTATTATAATAAATAAAGAATAAATATAAAAAACAAGAAATAAAGTATCTACCTGAATATTCTTTTTATTTTGCTGTCGACTGTTGATGATACTTAATCCTACTTTTTTGTACTAATGGTAGTAGGGCATTAAGTAATTTCTATTTAATTAAATAATTCAACAAAGAACTTAGAATAATAACGTGTAAAAAGCAGACAATTTCCTTTAACATTCACAATTTGTCTGGCTTTCTACGTAACAAGAGCTATTACAAATTCAACCAAGCTAGTCGTATTTCCTGTGGGAACGAAGCCTTTACTATAAATATATTGACGATTATCTGTTCAGAACACAATGTAATATAATACGTCATTTTATAGATGAAAACCTTGGCTTTCTATTGTCTATAGCTAATATATAATTAAACATGAGAGAGAACCATTAATAAATCCTGAAAAAAGGATTTGACAGGTGCGTGTTGCAGGAGGGGTCTGATTTTATATTTGATAGTTCTGTAACCTAATAAAATTGAAGGCTGTAAAAATTATGATTTGTCTGAGCAATGACAATTTTATTGTGAGTAATTTTGGTTTAATTTTATAGTTAGTGGAGGGGTGGTGGATAAAATAGAGAAGAGAAGATACCTAGAGAAAATGTGTCAAACTAGGGAAAATTCTGGATTTTTTTAAATATTGCCTTATAGAATTAAGAACTTAAAACTTATATACCATAAAAATATGGATTATTAGCTAAGATTTTATGATATAATAATTGGTATAACATAAAGTATTTTAATAACATTTTGAATGTAAGACACAAACGTTGTGTCATGTGCATTAAAGGATATCTGTGGCAATAGGGTTAATTGTGATAATCTCTAGCCAGTACTACATAAAATTTTATAAGAGGATTTAAAGAATTTTATTATTGTTATGTATCAGTGGGGCACAATAAAAAAAAATATGACTATTACAGGTGTAATAATATCAGTGTATCATTTCTTCTTTTTATTTTTAAGTAATAATAATAATTTATTATGGTTCCATTTTTTAAAAAATGTTGTTCCTCTTGCTTGATATTTCAGCTGTTACTGTATAGATCATCGACCAAGGCAAGAAGTAAGAGAAGTAGATGAAAGAGGCTCGGAAGTATCTGATTTGATGTGTACTATCTGTCTATACCCTGTAGAGAACAATGTATCTAATGAAACGCTTAAAGCACCTTGTTGCACGTATACATGGTTTCACAGAACTTGTGTTCAGGTAGGAAGAGTAACATCAACTAAACAGATCTTAATTATTTGTTCAGTGTTGATACTTAAATATTTAAAGGGTTGGTACAGGCCATAGAAAGTCATGGAATTTGAAAACAAAAAGGGGTATTATTGTTTTATTACACTTTGAACTGTATCTAACTATTAATTCCACCACACAAGTTAGATTTTGGAAAAAAAGGGGTGTTCATTGCCAAAAATATTTGTAGTGCAAAGCAAAAGTTCATCATCAACATTTATTTTCACTCCACATTTCATTAAAGTTTTTCAATATATTGTTTTTTTCATACAAATAAAAACAGCCACTTAATTACTGCAGCATAGCCATGTTGATTATATACAGTTTTCTTGCTATGAATAAGCTGCCTATATAATGCAGTGGACCAGTCAAAAATTAAGAGTGATGTAGTGCTCACTTTTTCATCTTATGTGCTTTGGCTTATGTAGAAAAGTAGAGACTTGACAAACATTTTATGAATAATTTTAGAAAGCAAGTAAATATGTATCTAAAATATAGTTTCATAAATTATGGAATATTGACAGCAATAACTTAAAATTAAATATATTTTGGAGCAAATTGAATTAATGTTTTTAATATATATATATATATGTATGTATATATATGTATGTATGTATGTATATATATAGTATAGTAAACACACACACACACACACACACACACACACACACACACACATAAATGTAATTTCTTAATTTGTAAACACCTGTTGACCATCAATTAAATTTGACTTTTGGAAAAGTTATAATAATGTTACCAAAAATAGCTGTAAATGCACCAAAAGCTATTTGAACACTTAATAATAAAATGTTTAAGTATATAACTACTATTTCTAATACATTTACTATTATACTGGACACCTTTTTGAATAATGTTATCACATGTTAGACTCTGATGTGCTTGCTGCGATGTCTCTTAATTCCTTACTTTTTTTTAACACTTCTATTTAATAGTTATGAAAAAACTTAGTAGATTTGAGTGAATACTTGTGTTTCATGTAAGTGAGATGGTGGTGTCCAAATGTTTCTAGAGTCTAGGAAAATAGATAATTCTTTGAAAAATTTTGTAATTTTTTGTCCATGGTGAAATAAATGTACTTTATGTTTAAGAAAAAAGATATAGATGATGTTGACTTCCCCCTTTTATTACGAAAAGATTATATTCAAGTAGTTTTACAGTTTTATGTGTCTTTGGTACCGTGCTCTTTAGGAAAGAGGAGCATGAGCAGCCTGTTACATTCCATAAGTGCTATCCTGCCATGTACATGTGACTGAACTGTATCAGTTTAGCATGTTTATAACATGTGAAATTATAACACTATTCTTAAAGTACTGTGACATTTATTTAACTGTATACGTACTGATATAAAGTATTGTTTGGAGGATTAATTTCAGTTGGTAAGAATGAAGTTCCTGGCCATTGCTGTCTTTGAACTACTTCCTCCATTGTTGATTGTTCTCAGTCTGATTACTGTGATTGCACACTTGCCTAATACCATAATTTCAATTGTAAGAAGCCATAGTGTAGGATGGACCCCCCAGTCTTAGACTACACATGTTGACAAACTCTTAACTGGCTCTCGAGACCAAGCTTAATAAAATCAATGGTACAAAATTCCATTAGGTTGCTTTTTTTTTTTTAATTTTTCTCACATTTCAAGGGCCTTTTGTATTGTGTATCCCACCAGGTATATATTTTTTTTTTTTGGGGGGAAAATCTGCACTGTCCATCCTGCAACCATTCTAGTTGTCAATTACCTTGTAGCCCTTCCTACCACTGACCTGATGTGTAATACCAGATGCTGCCAAGTGTTGGTTGTGTGTGTCCAATTTTTTTGTTATCTGTAACTAAATAATTCCATGTGCACCATAGAGATGGGGTGTTCTGTAGGACTGCTAGTAGTTCTCTCTAGTTGTATTTTGCTTCATAAATATGTTCGTCCAGGACCATACACTCATGGACTAACATGAGTAAAGCAGACAGAGATTACTTCCTATCTCTGCTGCTCCGTGACATTAAGTTTCTTCTTACCACAGACATAATGTACAATTCCAGATGCCACCTAGTTTTGGTTGATCAATCCCATCAACGTAGTAGCTCTGCTTTTCAAAATAGAGTGTCGCGGTCACCCGTTACACTGTATCTGGTGGTGCATTTCTCTGTTTTTGTTTCTTCTTTCTTCTAGTGGAGTATGAGAGTCATTACTACTGACCAGTTTCTAGCTGCTGGGGTGGTGGACTATGGAGGGCTGTCCTCCTGAGTGATGAATCATACCACTCAGTTGAGAGTAGGGCAGTGGCATTCTGCAGGAGTCGCAGGTGAATAGCACTTTATACAGTGAACCTGATGTACAATTGCAGATGCCTCCTGGTTTGGGCTGTTGCACTATGCCATATTTCTGTCTATATATCTGACTAATATTTTTTTTTTTTTATGGCGTGATGCCCTTCCTACTGTGGAACTGATGATCAATTCCAAATGCTGCCAGGTTTTGGTTGAAGCACTTTGCCATGCCATAAATAAATAAATATATATATATAATTGCAGTTTGCCCTCCAGGCTGAGATGTTCCTCCTCCCTACCATCCTTCAGATGTACATTTTTGGTAGGTCTGGTGTTGGTTGGAGATGATTCAGCTACATAAGTCCTCACATATGTATGCTAGCCAGTTTCATTCCTCCTACTGCAGACTGGATGACAAATGTATAATGCTGCCAGATTTTGGACTGGAGATGCATCCTAGCTTTGCGATCCCTCTTCCTACCATTGGCTGGATGTCTGTTCCCAGCAGATATGGTGTTGGCTGTAGCTGGGCACAGCACGTGTTTTCCCACTTGTGTATGGCCAGATACTCTCCTCTTACTATATCAGGTTTTGGACCGGAGATGTAATCCTGCCAGGGCTTTCCACCTTCCTTCCATCTGCTGGATGTTGGTTCTTGGCGATTTGGTGTTGGTTCGGGTGGAAGTGCATGAAAGTGATGACAGATTTTGGTATGGAAACTCATCTTCCCTACCAATTCCCATTTCAAGGTGAAGAGGTAGCTGTTCCTCTACCTACTGCAGATCTGATGTACCATTCCAGATACTGCCTGGTGTTGGTTGAGGTCATACTACCACTCCAATCTGTTGCACCCTAACCACATGATATCTAGGAGTCCCATTCATCAGTCATACATATTGTGGGATTTCTTCATGTTTCTGCCTTTTATGTTCATGACATTGTCATGAAAGAATGAAGAGTATACTTGGATCAGATGTGATGCAGTCTCCCACTGAGGTGCAATGTTTTCTCTTTTGTTTCCACACCTCCTGGTCTCTCTTCGGGCATTTCCAAAAGGGAGATCATATTTTTTTTATCTGTCCTCCACCAGTTCAGTGTGGGATTCTAGCTAGAGGTAAAAGAGAAGAGGTAAAATACCATATTGGAAGTTAACATTTTCCTATACTGAAAATGTATTTCCGATAGATACTTACCTCTTCTCACATTTCCCACCCAGAATTCCCACTTCCTATGATATATGGTATAGGTCTTCTGACCAATCTTGAAGTGTTTAATGAGTGCAGATGTTAAGAGGGTGCTGGTTACAATAGGTGTGATGTCACGCTCCTATTGTTGGAGAGCTGCTGCATGATCATTTGCAAGTGGATATGCAGAAGTTGGAGGTGGAAGGCTAGTGGTATGTGTTGAAAATTGTTGCTTATATAGGGCAGTGCTAGTCAAGAAAAGCTATTTTGTGAGAAGAGGTAAGTATCAATCTGAAATACATTTTCAGTGTAAGAAAATACTAACTTACGTGCAAGACTTCTTGAGTGATTATGCAATGTTTTAATTTAGTCTTTAGAATTAATGTTGAAGCTTTTGCCAGCTATTGGTGCTGTGGCTTAAATTCCAAAAGTTGGTGAAATATTAGATACCAATAGGTATTAAATTTGTGATAAAAATAATGTTAATTGTTGCTTTGTTTTTTTCCCCCGATCCTTTTACTTTGTCCATTACAAGTTCAAAATCATAGGTTTGAAAAACAGCATTTGAGATCTGTCCTTTGTCTCCCACAAGTCAGTGCCAAAGGGATCTTTCATTCAAAACTGAAACTCATCAGTCAGGGATGAATGATTCTAAGAAATTATGTTTATATATGCACCATAACACTGTAAAAGTTAGTTGAAATGCTGAAAGGTGACAAGGCATTAGAAACCAACAGGCTTATAATTTGTAATAAACTGCATATGTGAGTTAAATAAAAACATCAATAGTTATTGCAATTTTTAGCTGTTGGTGCTGCATGAAAGTTTAAGACTCAACCTGTCCTGAATTCCTTTGTATTGTTGATGAGTTTACCTTTGTCAGTATTAAATCCTAATGGTAGTTTTATATAAATGTGTAAATCCATACCAAGGTAAAATATTGAATATGATTGTAAAATAATTTATTTTTCCCATCAACTGGTATATCTCAGAAACTTTCAGTTGGTAAAAATCGTGTACTGAAATTTTACTAGACGAAGAACTGGATGTTGGAGCTTTTCTTTGAATTGGTACCAAAATTTGCTAGTGTGATACAGTTGGTATCAAACATGCACAGTCAAATGTATCAAATACCATTAGAGCCATTTGGCAGTACAGGTTTACTTAAATGTCTACTATAGATGTGTATATGAACTTAATGTAGTGATTGTTCAGTCTTCATGGAAGTTATAGATAAAATGCAAAAAAGTCTATGAAATGTGATTGCAATTTGGTTCCTAAGCTTTAATAAACACACAAGGAAATTGGCATCTATTATTGTTTCATTTGAAATATTCTCTACAGAGGTGAAATGACTTCATTCCCATATAAAGATTAGTAATATTTTGTTACTCCACTTTATTAAAAGTTGTTATCCCATTTATCTGCAGATGAAAAAACTTTATTTTTCAAAATTATATAGAAATTGCCCAAAGTTGCTTGAAAATTTGAACAACTGTTTTTGAATGGAATTTTGTTTTTGTTAAGTATTACTATCAAGAAGTTAAACATATTGGCATATTCCAATGTACCCTGTATGACCATCAGGAAGTAACATATATTGGCATATTCTGATGTACCCTGTGTGACCATCAGGAAGTAAAACATGTTGACATACTCTGATGTATCCTGTACACCATCACTTTTAAAGAATGCTAAAACTTGAACCAGATGTGTGTCTTCTTGAGTCTGGATGGTCAGTAGGTACAACTGCTTCTGCCCCTGCAGCTTAACAAAAACTTTAAAATACAGCACTTGGTTGTAAGTTGTGCATTCAGATATTTAGCATGTATATGACTAACTTTTTTCTTTTTAATTAAGAATCTCTTAATACATTTAACTGCTTACATGCATGGATTTGTTATTCCCAAGTTAGTCTAGGTCAGTAGGAGTAATGTACAGACCTTGGTTTGCTAGATTTTTGTCAAACTTGAGACCTCCCAAAGAGTTCATGAGGTTGTGTATTGCAATATAATTATTAACTTTTATCCATGGACAGTGATTCATAACTCTTTCAACCTCAGCTTGGTCCCTGGGACTAACCTCTTGACCATTTTGTGCTTATTATAGTTTTAATGCTATACCTTTTAAATTGATAAGTGAATGTTAATGAAATTTGGCAGTTTATCAGCAAACATTAAAATGCTTTCATACGTAAAATATCTAATTTTTTTATTAAGTCTTAAGGTTTGTAAAGCAATGTTTCTCTTGTGCCTTTTTTTTCTTTTCACATCTTGCCTATCTATCATGCAAAGTAACTTTCATTTTAAGATTAAAAATAGTTTTATGCATTAGAAATTTTGAAATTTCACATGCAACTTTGCCCCCCCCAGTTGCACAGCGGTATGTCTGCAGACTTACAACGCTAGAAACCGGGTTTCGATACTCATGGTGGGCAGATCACAGATAGCCAATTGTGTAGCTTTGTGCTTAACCTCAAATAAACGCATGCAAATTCTTTATAATGCCCTTTCACTTGTGACCCATCTCAAAAGGGTTAACTGACCAATTTTTTCATAACAATAAATAAAGTCCAGTTGTGATTAACATGTTATTTATCTAATTTCAGCTTTTGATGCTTAGCCCTAAAGCAGCTTATGTTTCACATGTTATACCAGTGTACTTTCCTGGGTGTTGAACATTTGTTTGGTGTTTTGGTCATGTAAAGTATAAATGTAACATAAATTATGATTAAGTTGTATAGATAATTATACACAGCATTTGTTTCATCTACTTATTTTGTTTGCATATATAGGTACAAATGAAAATCTGTTTTCAGTAAGACTATGGCCAATGTTTAAAAGTATATGTTATCTTAGGTACAAATTTGACAGCATTATAAGAGAGATTCAATTTATATTAAATTTCTAATCTGTAGTCATAATTTAAATGTTTAATGCAGTTCTTCCCAAGTTTACTAAGTTTTCTTGTCAGTTTGAACTCTCATAAACAACTTGTTTCTTTACTGTAATTATATTCTGATGAATACCCATATTTCTGTGTTTCAGAGGCTAGCCCTGAGTGCAGGGTGCTTCTTCAAGTGTCCTGTGTGTAACAACAAAGATCTATTTAATATGGAGATGTGTAAACATGGCATTCACATACAAGAACAGTAAGTGTGAAATATACAACTATTTGTTTTGTAGTTGTTTCTACAAAATTAATAAGGGTATTACAACTTATTATTTTGTTAGGTGTAGTTTTATTTATTTGTTCACCTACATCCAGGTATCTTGCTAGATCTAGCGCTTTTTGTTTTAGCATATTGAAACACGCATGTCTCTAAATTTTACTCGTGATGGAAAAACAAATCATCATATAAACCTCTTTACTTTGAGCTTTGTAAAGTGGAAATTCTTATATTACTAACTTGACTGAGCTAATGATAGTTTTAACATATAAATTTTTAAAATCTGAAAAATTAGCTACTTTTTTGTGTGACTTTCTTTATTCAGTATTTTGTTCCTTCCAGTTTTAACATCTTTATTTTGATTTAGGATTAACACTTTCTCCAAGTTGGAAACTATGATTTTTGTTTTTGTCTTAATTTTCAATGACCTGTATAGTGGAAGTGAACTAGTAGAACTTCTGGGTGTTTGGCCATATAAAAATTGTTAATTTACTGAATTATTACTTTTCACAACTTTCAGCTCTCTAGGAGAGAGAGAGAGAAACACTCAGTTTATATGAAATATTTTCTTTTTCTATCAACAGGAATGCCTCTTTGGAACACGAAGAAAATACCTTTGAAGAACTTAGAATAAGGTATTGCCAGTGTGATGCAGCATATTGTATTTGTCCAAAAGGAAGAAACTTCAACTCAAAAGGAAGGTAAAAAGTGCATGTTCAGATAGTGACAATAATGAAATTTTATTGCCATTGAATCATTCTTCAGGTTTTAAAGAGTGGCTCTTCTATAATTAAAAAAAAAGGTTTCACAACTAATCTTTGTCAGAATCTAAAAGTGTTACAAAAAAAACTGACCATGTTGAGGAAATAATATTTTAAAGAATGAACTGCTAAATTCATCCAAATATGATGTGAAAACTAAGCAAAAAAAAAGAAACTTGAATTTTTTCAAAACTAAAATAGGTTAATTCACCACAAATAGGTTTAAAGGAACATTTATGTAATTAACAATAAAGTTTTTACTTTTTAATGAGATTAAAAACTAGTTAGATTATTTCTGTGTTGAGGTAGAACAATATGCACTATTATTTTGAGATATATATAGATATGAGACAGATTAAGACTTCTCTGTAGTTGTTTTCTTTTTTACTTTCAAAAAGTACCCAATTTTCAAATATTAGATTTTTGTGGCACTACTAATATGTTGTTCAAGAAAATAGTATGTTATCTGCTGAAATTAACTCTTTCAGCACAAGCTCGGTCCCTGTGACTGACCTCGTAACCATTTATAGTTTTCATGCTATACCTTTTAGATTAGTAAGCATATGTTAACGAATTTGGCAGTTTATCAGTAAACATTACAATGCTTTCATATGCAAAATATCAAATTTTTTTTTATTCACACTCTCAACACGGGTCAGTCAATTTGACCAAGTCACATGACCTTTTGTACTCGTTTAAAGTTGATATAAATTTAATACTTATAACTATATATATATTGAGTATATCTTCATG